TAGCTCGTTAAATTACAATAAAGCCTCGTGCAGTTTGCAGCAAGCTCTCAAATCTGCCTGGTGATTGGGGTGACCGCGAACGTGGCCTGGGACCCCGAATACTTGAGTTTTCGGGGGTCTAACACATCTACTTAATGTTTCCACCAATACATTTTATGTCTTGAATTATGGCTTTCTTTGTTCTGCTGTTACACTACACAAACTGAAACTGCTTTCACGTTGGAACATAGAATTTGGGGTATCCTAAAACCGTGCTTCTGGGCCAGGGTCACTCATAATTGGCTCATGCTCAACCCTGGCAAACAGTACCATATGTTGATCAAATGATTTTAATAAGAGCGAAGCTAAGTAATAAAGAGTTTTGGCCCTTTCGAGTGGACACACAAGCTGTAGTCCAGGTCTCGGAATGTGAGACAGGAGAGGAATGAAGCAGATGCAGAGACCTGGATAGGACAGAAGGCGTCCTTCAACAACTCTCAACACTGTAACCTCCCCCAGAGCAGAGAACTGACCAAACATTTACACCCTTGTGCTCGGAACTCTCCACACAAAACGCAGCCGGAAGTCTAAGCTAGCAACACCTAACCTGCACAAGTTCCTGCGTCCCGTCCGCCCAGCTGTCGTCGCACGCCCCGCCCCCGATCTCTCCCTCCCCATTGGCTAATCCTTTCGCACCCCGCCCATAGGGGCTCCGCCCCCGCTTCCTTCACCCTTCACCTCCTCACTTTCCGGAACTCCCAGAAGCCTCGGTCCTCCCTCATTCGGGAAGGGGGAAACGGTACTCCGTCATGACTAGCAATTATTGGTGGACACGGTTGTCCATTATAGCAACAATGGTCACGGATTAGCTGAAAAGCAGCAGTGGGTGGGGAAGCTGGCATAGGAGCTTCCGCGCATGTTCAGTGTGGACGCAGTGACGCAGCCGCGGGGGCAATCATGGCGGCTCGGTGCGTGAGGCTGGCGCGGCGCAGTCTCCCGGCGTTGGCGCTGTCGTTCAGGTAGGAAAGTGCCGCTCCTCCGCGTCGCACCCACTCACTGCCGAGAGCTCTGGCTACGGCCTTGGGAGCGGTCTGGGGTCCCCACAGCCGATACCCCTGCGCCCTGGAGCCTCGTCCTCACAGCCTGATCCCCGTGCCTGGTTTCTCCGCGCGGGTGTTCCGGGATCTACTGTGCGATGCTGCCTGAACAGGGCTCGGAGCCGAGCAGCATGGCCGTTGGGGCGTCAGCGAGGGGATCCGGGCTCTGCAGTGGCACGTCAGGTGGAAGGTTCTGCCACTTGCCTCTGGCGACAGACCTCATGCTTACGGGCACGGGGCACCACCCGTCCTGGGATTGCAAAAGATAACCCCAGAAGCCAGAGACTTGCCCAAGGTCAGGCAGCTAGGCAGAAGCCCGCCTGCACAGGGCCTGGGGTTGCTACTGTTGGTAGCAGTGTGCACTTCAGGGCCGGGGCTAACTCGGGCAGGCCCCAGACCAGGATGCTGCCCGGTTTACGGGCTTTTTGCACTGTCCCTCACATTCCTTCTCCACTTTTGTCCTTCGGGGTCAAATGTGAGGTTCAAGGAACAACAAAGCCAGTGTGTGCGCAGTTTATTTCGACAAACGCACATTTTTCTCCATCTTTACCTTAATCCGTTGTTTCAGACTTTTGAGTCACACCTCCAAAGTTAGGCAAATACTTAGTATCTTTACTTCGTTCCTACTTAGGACCGAGTTATTGGTTAATGAAAAGCTAATTTGGCTGAATCTTGTGGAAAATGGGTAGAATGAGAGCTGGTCCTTTCATCTGGTGAGGGCAAGCAAGTGGTTGATCTTTTAAAAGGTGACAAGATGAAAACAGGTAGACGGGCGGTGGTGACACACGCCTTTAATCCCATCACCCGGGAGGCAGAGGCAGGAGGATCTCTTGAGTTCGAGACCAGCCTGGTCTACAAGAGCTAGTTCTAGCACAGCCTCCAAAGCCACAGAGAAACCCTGGCTCGGAACCCCCTCCAAAAAAAAAAAAAAAAGAATGAAAACAGGCTTACATATGTAAAGAGCTGGGAGCAAAGCAGCCACCTGGAATATTCCTGTAGAAGCACTTCTCATTTGTGGTGCTGTATTTCGAGTTAATTGGCAGGAGGGCAACCCCTCCCCTCTCCCCTCAGCTTGGTTCATGTCTGTCCCTGAAATTGTGGTTTTGAAGAAAGGTGCTTTAGGAGGGAGGCCAGAGAGCTATATGGCTGATAGCCATAGTTCCCATAGTATTCCTACTCTTGGCTGCCCTCTTCCCTCTGGGACACAGCCCTAGAAGAGAGCATCTGTACAATATACCTGACTTGCCCAACGGCTCTAATTATCACACCGCTGGGGTGGAAATAATTCATACTGAAAGCAGATTTTGCATTGTATAGGTTTTTATATTCTTAGCTTAATTTTGCTTTTCATAATTAGGCTCTGTTGTGTTTTGTTGTGTATGGGTGTTTTGCCTCATGTATGTCCATGCATCAGGTGCATGCCTCAGAGGTCAGGAGAAAGTGTCAGATACCCTGGATTTGGAATTTATAGGTAGATGGTTTATTAGCTGCTATGTGGGTACTAGGGATCAAATCCAGGTCCGCAAGAGTAACAAGTGTTCTCAACTACTGAGCCAACTCTGCAGCCCAGATTCTTGGCCTTTTAAAAATCATGAAAGGAAGAGTAAAATTAAAAGTCACTGTTGGGGCCAGAGAGGGGGGCTCAGTGGTTAAAAGCACTGGCTGCTTTTGTGGAGGACCTGGGTTTAGTTCCCAACACCCTTACTGGGTAGCCCATAGCCACCTGTAACTCCAGCTCCAAGGGGATTCCATGCTTCTTCTGGCTCACTTCCAGGATTCACTTGGACTTCTCTTTCCATTACCCCTGCACAGCACTTGTACTCCCATTTCCAGTTCCCTGTCCGAGTGATATCTGGTCCCTGAAATGCATCTCCTGTCCACCCTACTCCTCTATAACTCACCTGGCCTGCATATTCTTCTGTGGACCTGCAATCCCAGCACTCAGCACTTGGAAGACTGAGGCAAGAGGATTGCAAGCTTACTGTCAGACTCAATATCTGAATAAAAAGAAAACCAGAGCCTGGAGAGAGAAGTCTCAGTGGTTCAGAGTATTCACCACTCTTGTACAGGACCGGAGTTAATTTCCTAGCATCCATGCTGGATGGAACACAGCTACCTGTAATTCCAGCTCCAAATTATCTGGTGGCTTTGACTTTCATGGGCACCTACACTGTGTAAGTGGCATACACTTACACAGACACACACATACAAAGACACACACAGGGACATACTTACATATGATTGGATATGATAGCAATACATTTTCCCCTAGTCAGCTTGCTGGGCATTGCAGTCCATACCTTTAATTCCAGTACTTGGGAGGCAGGGCAGGCAGAACTCCATTGAGTCTAGGACCAACCTGTTATATATACATAGTGAATTCCAAGGCAGCCTGGGTTACACAGTGAAATCTGGATCTCCCTGCTTTGGGCCTCCTGCTCCATGGCTCCAGTCATCACAGAAGCCACAGGCCATTGTGTTTTGGGTGTTTGCTTTTTCTGTTTGATGAAAGGATTTCTGCTCAGGCCACTGTCATCAGTAGGATGCAAAGTGGGCCTTGTCATGAAAGAGGTCTGGGTGCTTGGACTCAAGGAGACACCTTTGAATACATGAGGAGGTAGTTAATAGTCATGTCACTTAATGACAGAGCTGCTTTCTGTGAACTGTGTTGTCAGGTGATCTGTTAACTAGTAGGTATCACCGCCACAGCCACCTATGTCATGCACTGTTAATTAAAGATTCAGGCTGGAGAGATGGCTAACTGGCTAAGAGAGCTTGCTTCTTTTCCATAGTACCTAAGTTCAGTTCCCAGCACTCATGTTGGACAATTCACAACCACCTGTAACTCTAGCTCCAGGGGATTTGATGCACCATTCTGGCCTCCTACGACACTATACTCATACAGCCACATAAAGAGGCACCCACATTCTGTGTTTGGTATGTGCAATATGAGTACATGAGGAAGGCCCAAGGTCAACATCAGGTATCTTCCTCTATCTCATTTATTTATTTTTTGGGGCAGCTACCACAGCAAATGTGTGGTAGTCTGAGCACAACTTGCAGAAATCAGTTCTTTGCTTCTACCATATAGGTCCTGGGGATTGAACTCATGTCATGACTGGTTTGGTGGCAAGCACCTTGACCCAATGAGCTAACTTGAAGCTCATGATTCGGCTAGGGTCGCTGGCCAGTGGGTTTGGCTGTCTATGCCACCTCAGGACCAGGGCTACAGGTGTGCCTCCATGCTCAGCTTTCTTATGTGGGTTCTGGGGGTTCAGGTCTTTGTGCTTGACCTGCAGAATTTTACCTACTGAGCCACCTCCCCAGCCCCACAGCACATTTATTTTGTGTGTTAGGCTACCTTCACTTCTTACATGTGGGCTTTTCCTTAGGCCTTCTCCTCGCTTGTTGTGCACAGCTACGAAACAGAAGAATGGCCAGAACCTGGAAGAGGACTTGGGTCATTGTGAGCCAAAGACAGAGCCACCCTCTGCAGACAAGACCCTCCTGGAAGAAAAGGTGAAGCTGGAAGAGCAGCTGAGGGAGACCATGGTAAGGATCCTATTTTAGTTGGGGTTTCTGATGCTATGAAGAGACATATGACCATGGCAATCCTTATAAATGAAAACATTGAATTGGGGTGGCTTGCTTACAGTTCAGAGGTTCAGTGCGCTATCATCATGGTAGGGCATGGTGCAGGCAGACATGTGCTGGAGTAGTAGCTGAGAGTCCTGCGTCTTACAGGCAACAGGAAGTGGACTGTTTCACTGGCATGTCTTGAGCATAGATAAAACTTCAAAGCCCACCTCCAGTGACACATTTCCTCCAACAAGGCCACACCTTCTAACTGCACCAATTCCTTTGAGGACTATTTTTCTTCCTTTGGGGGCTACCATAGACCTTCAGTGTACACACTGCTGGATTGCTACCTGCATGGTCCACATGGCAACTTCCAAGTTCACAGGTGACAGGGTACAGCCAAGCACATTTAATTATTTGTCTGCCGGGCTGCAGGCCCAGGTGGCAAACTGACTGGCAAACTGGGACTAGATCCAAACCCTCTGTGGCTCTGCTTCTGACCTGGAAAGTTTCTCTATTAGGGGAAAACGCCTTTAATTCCAGCACTCAGGAGGCAGGTGGATTTTTGTGAGTTCAGGTCAGCCTGGTCTACAAAGCAAGTTCAGGACAGCCAGGGCTGCTACACAGAAAAACTCTGTCTCAAAAAACAAACAAACAAAAAGATTGCAGGGTCTTGAATACAAATGAGGGATACTTAGTGTGATAAAGCTGGGACTTAGGAAACCAGAATATTATGTACAGGAGTTGAGTGTGGGAGTCAGTGATAGATTATCACTCCGTGTTGAAAAGCAGGCAGCAGTCAAGTTCCTTAAGTGTGGGAGCAATTGGTAGTATCACTTACATGGCTGGCACTGTGCTGAACTCTGTTAATCCTCAACCACAGTCCCTTCATAGATGAGGAAACTGAGATACAAAAAAGATTGTGGAATTTCCCAAGAAACCAAGGCTAGCCCAGGACAAGCCATCTTAGAGCCTTGCTTCATGACTGCCTGAAAACTAAGGTCAGAGGTGTTGTAGAGACCCCTGGAGTCCACCAGTGGCTATTAAACTGGAGATGGTTAAAAATGGTGGCAACAGGGATAGTGGAGATCTGTCCTATCTCTGGTCCCAGTAATTAATTGGCAGGGCATGGCCTCTTTGAGATTTCCTCCCAGGTTATCTTCCTTCCTCTGGGGAGGCAGGGAACTGAGGTAGGTGACCCCCATTGATGTGCTTTGATACCTTCAAGTTGGACAGGAAAGTAGCATTCTCCCCTGAGGGATAACAAAGGCATGAGCACATAAGCAGGACCTTCTGGCTCTTCTCCACTGTGCCCTTGGGTAGGAGTCTCTCACATTATGTATTCCCTGTCCCTCAACCCCTGAGACACCAGCACAGGTGTAAAACATTCTTCTTAAACTGTCCTGGTTTTGTCCAAAATCTCAATGACGAGTTTTGTTTATGTCCTGATTTGGAGTTTGTTATATAATCATTTCCTTTCTCACACATTTGTAACACAATTAAATCTTTTCCTTTTTTTTTTTTTTTTTTTTTTTTTAGGAAAAATACAAACGAGCTTTGGCAGATACTGAGAATCTACGGCAGAGAAGCCAGAAGCTGGTGGAGGAGGCCAAGTTGTATGGTAAGCAGAACATTTAGTCTTGAGTGGGGAGAGAGCAGGGATGCAGCTATGACTAGCATGTAGATGGAGCTCCTGCTCTTCATTTTACTCTCCTGTTGCTCAGCCTGCTGTGGCCTGCCTGGTCAGCATGGGGCACCTTGGTTTGTGAGCCTTGGGGCACATTAAGCTAATTTCTCTCTACCTGTGCTTTCTTCCTTTCCTCACTTTTAGTACATATTACCTGCTCTTATTACAGAAGTACTGTGGTTCTATGACATATCATTTGGCCAGGCATCAAGAACAGCCCTGTGTGAGGACCCCATGCAACTGATACTAAGTGGAGACCATCTTCTCTTCCTCCATGCAGGCATCCAGGGTTTCTGCAAGGACTTGCTGGAGGTTGCAGACATCCTGGAGAAGGCAACCCAGAGTGTTCCAAAGGAGGAGATCAGCAACAACAACCCTCACTTGAAGAGCCTATATGAAGGGCTTGTGATGACTGAAGTCCAGATTCAGAAGGTGTTCACAAAACATGGCTTGCTCAGGCTCGACCCCATTGGGGCCAAGTTTGACCCTTACGAACATGAGGCCTTGTTCCACACCCCTGTGGAAGGGAAAGAGCCGGGCACTGTGGCACTAGTTAGCAAAGTGGGCTACAAGCTACATGGGCGCACCCTCAGGCCAGCTTTGGTGGGGGTAGTGAAGGAAGCTTAGCTGCCTCCCTTGGGGCTCTGGACTTTGTAGGTCACTTGTTAGAACTCGAAAGGCAGGCTTGTAATTTCTCATCTGTGAACACATCTGATCTTTGCCCAGCCTTGTTGGAAATCTTAAGTAAGCTAAGCAGAATGTGAAGCTGCTTGCATACTGTGTCAGGGACTCTGGGAGCCTGGTCACTGAGTTTAGCGCCACCTACTTCAAAAGAGGGCCAGCAGGGCCTCAGGAGTAGTGTGACTAACAGACTAACATTGTATCTGTTCCACCTGGTGATTGATAAGTACTTTACACAAATAAAAGGTCTTTGGCTATATCTGTGCCGCACAGTCTACCTCTGGGTGCCAAGGCACTGGTGTCACTCAGCATGGTGGGGCCCTTTCGAAGGGTAGGGCCAGAGTGAGAACATGAGCATGAGTCCTTCATAGGTAAGATTGTAGCTGCTGTGAACTGGGAAATGAACACCTGAACTTGAACATACTTAGTTTTTTCCCTGTCTACAGTCTTCTCAATATTTAAGTCAATAGCTAAGTAGTTGCTAAGAACATTACACACTGTCAAGACAAACCATTTCGAATGTAAAAGCTTCATGGCTAGCATGCTTCAGGCATTTCCACTTTTCAGGTTGTGGTTAAGAGGATTAAAAGTCTCATCTTTTGTGTTCCTAGTTTTCTGGTATTGGATTTTGTCATCTAGTGGAGGTTTGGTGAGGTCCTGAGGAGAAAGCCTGGTTCACTCAACTCACAGCTCTTCAAGCTTGGAGCTGCAGGCATGCAGCGTAGAAGCTGCATATGCCTGGGGATTGTACACCTTGGCCTTACATGTAGTTACAATACAGATCATATGAGAAAAACAAGGAGCCTAAGCCACATGGCAGAAGCTGACTTCGGGCTCCCACTAGCCAAAAGGTCTCTTTTCCATCCATTTCTATAGCAGGCTCAGAAAAAGCTAAGAATTGCTGATCTAAAAAAGGAACCTGTGCCAGAGTGAGGAAGGCATTGATTACACCCTTGGGCAGAAGCCAGGCAGTACAGTAAATGCATAGAGCTAAGGGGATAGTCTTTTGCTATTAAATTTGAAAGAAGTAATCCCAAAATTCAAGGTTCAGTCTTCATACATTCTCCAGCTGCCTTGAACTATTTAGACAAAAGCCAGACTAAAGGCAGCTTGACACAGCAGAGGCAGTGTGCTTTTATGTTGCATAGTTGTGCATACCCCATCAGACTTAACTGTGGATGTGTAGTCAACCCTTTCCAGCTAAAGCTGCTGGGCAGTACAAAGCTCAACCTACAAGATCTAGATCAGCCTTGTTTACAAGTTCCATGTTAGACTCAAGAAAAACTGTCAAAAGCCAGTAAGATGACTCAGCCAGTAAAAGCACCTGACAACATGAGTTCAATCTCCAGAACCCCCATGAAGGGAGAGGATTCCCAAAGTTGTCCTCTGACCCCCAACTGCACTAAAACACAATCAAGGTTAAGAACAGTTGGCTTTGAACATGGACAGGATTTTTCCTATCTCCAAGTACACTGTCTATGTGTGTGGCATTCTGGAGAGTGTGTAGGTAGTGCCTGCTGTCTAAGCTATTTGAGCACCCCGTTTTTGGTTTCCTGGAAGGAGGAGAGTCCTGGAACCAATGAGGAATGACTAGCCTAAATGTGGCAGTGTGTGCAAGTTCTGTCAGTCAGTACTAATAGGAGATAAACAGATATGCACACATTTCCCCTGGAAATTCAAGTCTAGTGACTGGAACTGCATGGTAGTAGCTGGTTAAATTGTATGAGCGTGGCTAACCAGAACTTTTAGGTAGCTGGAAATGGGCCTTGCTCCCTGGAAATCATCTTTGGCCTAGCTGGTGCTCTCAGGATCAGACTTACTGAATGTGTAACTGTATGGCCCAGGGGGACTTCTGTTTTGTTGACAGCAGCTTTCCACCTTGGGCTTCTTAAGCTGGCTTGACAGCAAAGTGTCTGCTGTGAAGCTGGAGGATCAAGAAGCAAACAGAAACGACTTTGTTCTCAACAATTTAATGTAAAAGAATAATAAAAATGGTAGGGTTTTGATTCTTAATACATTCTTGGAATGTTGGCCTCCTAGACAGCATTATTTCAAACAGTTGAAGAATTATCTAACTTTTCTGACTCAAAGACAGTTTGTTTAATTTTGAAAAGACTTGGTTCCATAGGGTTGTGGTAGTTAATTTATCATGAGAATTAAATACAAACATGTCAAGGTCTGAACTAACTAAGAGTAATGTGACAGAAACAGCTGGGGCAGATAGGAGAGCAAACAATCCTAATATTATTTTTCCCTTGTAACAATATTAATACTTGAACATAAATTAATTATACATTCATTATGGTGTTTTAAAACAGTCACGCCCAAATAAATTCATAACATCGAAAGATGTACATACTATACGCCTGCTTAAGCACAGCTTTTTGTCCGACAGCTCTTGGCCACATGTTGACAGAATCCTCTGCTTCTCAAGCTAATGTAGGTCTAGCTGTCATTTTGTAGAAGACACTGAAGCTTCAAACCTCATCAAGCTGGGACTGGTGTTGGAGACACCAGGACAAAACCAGTGGTTCTCAAACTTGAGTTTGTATCCCAGCCACCTGGAAGGTTTGAAAAACACCCTGCTCGTCCCTGTTAATGAAGTCCCCAAATCTCTGTCTCAACAGAGTTAGATGGGGTGCAATTCTATATTTCTGACAAGTGCCCGAGAACCCCACTTTGAGAACCACTGGCTTAACAACTAGGCACTGAGCACCACCCCATTGCTGTTCAGTGACACCAGCTACTGTCCACCATTCACCTGCAGGGGGCAGTGTGGAGTTAGTCCTTTGACACCACTGCTCAGCATCTTCTGGTGTCAAGAAATCTGGGCCTGGCTCACAGGGCACTTCCCTGGTAGCCTACAATGCACTTTACAACTAAAGCCGTATACAGTATATTTGAAATGTTTTATTTAATGCTGAAAAACTTACCCTAGGGGACAGAGGATGTAAAATGAAAAGGCACGTCATCAAGTCGTCCTTGGAAATGAGTTGTTCTTCAAAATAACTTCACTTTCACTTCCGAGCCCAAACACTCTATGAGGTAAACAGGCTCTTGTACCTCAGGGACAGGGGGCAGGGGCTGTGGTCACTCCAGGACTCTTAAAGCAGGGTCTGGGCGTGAGAACCCTGAGCAGCCGGAAGACAAACGCCTTCCTCAAGTTTAGAAGGAAGGTACCATAAGAATCCTTGAAGGAGGCCCCCAGAGACAAGCTTTTCAGTCAATCTGGGAAGGAGCCATTTCTGAGTTTGTTTCAAAACCACAAACAAAAGCAGCACACAGGCTCCAAGGCACAGGCAGGATGCTCTGCACTCCCCAGGGCCCCTGCCAGCTGGTCCCGTGACTACCCGGCTGGAGGAACCTGGCCATACCCTGATCAGCTCACTGAGCCGGGATATCTAGTATGTCCTATATTTAGTGAAAGGGAATCTGCAATATTGGTGAAGTCCTGAGCAGCTACTGCCCCAACTCAGCATTGCACACTCAGCTTTGAACTCAAAAGGTCTTCCAAGTCAGGTGTTCACAGCAGCAAAGGGAAGCCCCCAACTGACCCTGTGGCCTTCCCATTAACTGCTTTCCCAATCACAGGGATAAGAATGTGCCAAGAGAGCCTGTTCAGGCAGCCCAGGCTGGGCCGGGCTAAGTTTAAGCGCAAGCACTGTTGAGGGCCAGGAATGGCTGCTGTCAGATAAGTGGAAGCTCATGTGATCACTGTGTGCAAATAAAGGGCTCATCTTAAGTGGCTCAGTGGGGGAGGGCCTGGTGGTTATCTCCACAGCCTCCACAGCAGAGGGTTCTGTGCACAGCCTGCCTCCTGGTAAAGTGCGGTGTGCCGGGGCTGTGCTTGGGGTATTGGCTGGGGGCAGCAGTGGGCTCAGTGAAGGGGTGCCAACAACAGCCCACCTGAGTAAAGCTTGTGTCACCAGGTAAAAACTAATGGCAGGAACACATAGCTCTTGGCTCCCACAGCATAACAGCTTCTGAACCCAAAGGGGTAAAGGCTCATGAAATAAAGGGAACTAGTCCAAGGTGGGGGCAGTCTTCAGACGGACACAAGGCAAGCCATCTTCTGAAAGGATTACCTTAGCACTAAGTTAGAAAGACACACACTTGTCTCCCCCACAAGTCAGTTTAAGATTGCTACTATTGCTTCTTCCAGAGGGTCATGAAAAAAAATTAAGCCTTGAAAAAAAGAATTCAATTTGTTTAAAAGAGCAACAATGTTGAGAGGGGACCCTAGGTCATTTGGCTCACAAGCTGCTTTAGCATCATCTGGCCTCAGGAAGCGTCCCTGGATATCCACCCACTTTCTGTAAGGAAATTTAAAATCCTTTTCTTTAGGACCTTGTCCAGATAACTGGGAAGGCGACTTTTAGAGGGGATCCCTTGTCGCTTCTGGAGGTGATCTTTAATTATAATAGTCTTCACAGTCACATAGCGTGCGGGACTCAAGTTCAAAGAGCTACAGAGAACCTTCTCCCGATCTGACAGCAGCTCAAACCCAGGAAGGTTCTCAATGGCTGCAAACTCGCTGTCTTTGCCATCTTCCTTACCCCTTTTGGAGCTGGCCAGGTTTTTGTTCTCCTTCCTCCTCTCCCGTTTGTGTCTGGCAGCCTCGTACTCGGCCGACTCTTCCATCTTTGTAATGCCGTTGCGCCGGTACCGCTGCAGCTCTCTGATCTTGGCACGAAGCATCTTCTCCTTGTGCATGTTTTCAAATAAATCATCAAACTCTTTGCAGGACATGAACTGGTAGAGTGGCCGCAGTTTCAGCCGCAGCTCCTTCTCCTCCTTGGTTATCTTTCGCTTTAGTGTCTTTTCCTTCTCCTTCTTGTCCTTGCCCAAAAAGGCTGGCACCAGGTTGTAGTCACGGGCAATGTTCTTCCTGCGCTGCCTCTCCTTCAGCTTCCGCACATACATGTCTACATGGGCACGCTTGAGCTCAATCTCCACATCATCATCATCATAGTTCACAGAAAGCCCACTGATGAGCGTCTCAGCATCCTGGTCATACTCGATCTCATAGTCATCACGGAGTGGCATGTAGCCCAGCTGCTGCTGCTCAGCAACTGAGATGTCCAGTGGGGGCAAAGGGGTGGTGAGGCTAGGCGAGAGAGGGCCCCCACTGGGGCAGGTGTGATCTGTCACTCGGTTAGGGATGGTGTCAGGGATGCAGGCTTTGCCCAAGTTCCCATGGATGTACATGCTGACGTAGTGCTCCATCACTTCCTGAGGAGTCCTCGAAGCACCAACATGTGCAGCCATATCTTCCTGTAATGACAAAAGCCAGACAACCAAAGTCCTTCCTTCATTCCAGTACTCACATTCTCACAGTTTTACTTGGGCTACTTCCTATCAATGTTTTTATTTCTCTCTCTCTCTCTCTCTCTCTCTCTCTCTCTCTCTCTCACACACACACACACACACACACACTCTCTCTCTCTCTCTCTCTCACACACACACACACACACACACACACACACACACACACACTCTCACACACACCCATTATCCCCCCAAATATATTCAGATATGCATCCCACCTGGCACTGATGGAACCTACATAGATGTACTCAAGAGGGAAGATCAAGAACCACAGATTTGTTCAAGGCTATGTGGGAACTGGTGACAAAGCTGGGATGAGAACTCCTGAAAGTCATTCTTTTTTTTTAAAAAACAACAACAACAACAAAACAACAACAACAAAAAAAACAAAACCCTGAGACAAGGTTTTTCTATGTAACAGTCCTGGCTCTCCTGGAATTCATTCTGTAGACCAGGATAGCCCTGAACTCAGAGATTGACCTGCCTCCTGAGTGCTGGGATTAAAGACATCTACAACCACCACCCAACCTAAAAATCAATTCTTCATTCTCTGGCTTCTTAAAAAGCAACTCAGCCATGTGCTATTGTCTGTTTTAACCACTGCAAACCCTAAAGAGCACATGAAGAGAGTGGTGTTAGAGGACACACTTTTCACTCAGACTAGACAGCAGACTTGCCAACTTGTCCACAGGGCAAAGCAAGTCCATGCAACATGACAACAAAAAGGACTGTTTCTTTTCTTTTCTTTCTTTCTTTCTTTCTTTCTTTCTTTCTTTCTTTCTTTTTTTTTTTTTTTTTTTTTTTCTCTCTAGCTTTGGAGCCTATCCTGGAACTCACTCTGTAGATGATGCTGACCTCAAACTCACAGAGATCTGCCTGTTATCTGCCTCCCCAGTGCTGGGATTAAAGGTGTATGTTACCATTGTCCAGCAGGAGACTGTTCCTTGCTGCAGCTCTAGGACAAAAAGGGTCAGGACTCTTTTAGCATTGTCCCAGCCTTAGGCTCTGACACCTAAGCTTTTCCTCTCTTAGGTGGCTGTGGATGATGGGCATGCAGAGACTGACTGCAGTGCCACCACCACTAGAAACATTCTCCACTCCTGCCAGAGAGGAAACTAAACAGCTCCCTCAATCTTTTCCTTTTGCCAAGAGGCCTCTTCCTTAAAGTCAACCACTAAAGCCACTTCAGAAAGTAATTGCTCAAAATGCACACTCATTTCCCGGCTGCTATTCTCAACACTAGTCTCAGAACCAGCAGCACCTCTTTGAGCTTCAGGTTATACATAGCTCAGTGAGGGGCAAGTTGCTTTGGGCCCCAAATGGTCATGCCTAATCCAGTCTCTGTGCTCCTGACAGCCAGTTGGAGCCAATGGCTGTCCTGATTATAAGCTAGGTGCTATGGAAGGTAAAGAAGACCAACTCAGCTGAGCAGCCTCCATCTGAACCTTCTCTGTGACAAACACCTGGAGCATGGAGCTGGAACCCTTACCACTGGCCTGACATTGGAGATTAACCTTAACAAAGCAGAATGAAGAAAGCAGTTCTGAGACACAGGTACAGGTTCACCTAAGACTCCTAAAGAGAAAAATAGAGATTACAGCAAGGGATATACTCTGGTCTTCTGGGGGTCAATTATATGACTCCAACTTTAAATGTCATCATTAGTCTCACCCTTAATTGTTTCTCTCACGAAGCATTCTAAAACACCAAAGCATGACTATGCCTGGCTGCTACTGGTCTTTGCAGAGCCTCTGATCCTGTCTAGAAAAGAAACAACCATACTCAGGCTAGGCAGGGTCTGGTTTTCTTGGAGATCTCCTCCAGGCCTTGGTGAAAAGTTCCACGAGTGGCCTCTAAGGCCTCTCACTTGCAAAGATTTGTACACACATGTGCGTGTACTGCAGAGGTCAGAAGATGACATCAGGTCTATTCCTTAATCACTCCCCACTTTCTTTGGTCTCTTACTTACAGAACCCAAAGGTCACTGATTCCGCTGGATTAGCTGACCACAGAGCCAAAGGATCTGAGATCCTTAGCTGAGCTCCCCATTCACAGGGTGGTGGGAGGGTCAGATGCATTGGTAGGCACAAGCACAGTACCCAGGCCAGGCAGTCTGTGATCTGCATCATCAGTCCTGCTACTTGAAACTATTAGGTTCACTGGAAGCTCTGTGTGTGTGTGTGTGTGTGTGTGTGTGTGTGTGTGTGTGTGTGTGTGTGTGTGTGCATGTGTTCCAAGCCCACACTGTTCCAAGACTTTCCTCTGGCTCCACCTCCTGTTCTCTTCACTCTTCTGCTTCCTAGTCTGTGATTCCCCTTCTTAGGGATTTTGTTGGAGACCAATTAAAAGTAACAGGCAAGAGCACCTACATATACCATCTTACTGAGACATCACAGCTGCACCCAGGAGAGCAGTGCTTTCACTACCTACAATTCAAGGTCAATAAAACTTTGGGTGAGCTACCCATAGGGCAAAAGACCAGTCGATACTGTGCAGCTCAAATTTAGTAGTCTGGCTAGGAGCACTGCCTGTCACCAAGTGCTTGTCACCCCAGGCCTCTCATGATTGTCAATGCAGTATGCGCTGAAGAGTCTTTACCTCATACAATTCCTGGCACTATGAGCACACAGAGCAAGGCTGGACTACAGGTCACTGCTTCTTCCTGGTTCAACCAGCTCTCAAAGAACTCCACAGGATGGCAGGTCCTGACTCTGACTGACAGAAGGGTGCTATGCACACAGCTTCTGATGCTTTTAGCACCTTGCCTGGGGCAGACAACCTTGAGTCAGGCGGGCCTCACAATTTCCTTCCTGTCCTTCCTTTTCAGCAGACAACCCTGCCATAACCTGGCTGATACTTAACTCCATTGTTGTCTTTATTTTCCCAGCAACTGGACTGTGAAGAACAAAGCAGACTGAGGTTGGCCATGACCAGGGGTTGGACTTTGGGGTAGGAGTGTGTGCCCTGTGTCTAGAGGGAGCCCTGCCCCTCCCCCTTCAAATGAAGGAGCTTCTAAAGAGGTAGAAGCCAAAGGCATCCCCCTTTCCTGGAGAGGTTCAGTAAGGAGCCACCAGGAAGCAGGCAGTACCTAAGGGGCCAGGAGGAAACAGGAAACATAATCCACCTGAAAGCATTCTGAAGCCACCTAGGGGAAGGGCAGGTACAAAGCACTGATCACAGTATCCTGTAAAATTACTTCTAGGCATTTCTATTTCATCTCCTTACCCCCTAGATGGTCAGTGCTGGACAAAGCTACTATCAACCTCTCAAGGCCACCATGAGCTCTCACAGCTAATGTACCTGTTACTTCATCAGGGCTCTGTACACCCTCAGATCAGACCCTCCCAGAATCTTGAGAGTGGTAGCAGGATGGTGTGGCCAGGAAAAGGCAGGCTGGGCCACAAGCTCCCCGGGGTTGGCAGGCTAGCTCAGCAGTTATGCAAAGGGACATCTAGAATGACTTTTCTTTCGGCCTCACAGAGCACAGCTGGTCCTTGAGATGGCCAACTCACACTACTCTCCTGGGATATTAGACAACCCTGAGTTCTCATTTCCTTGGGCACTGCTCTCCGTCAACCTCCTCAAGTTGTTCTGATTCAGCTAATATTTGGAAACCAGTGTTCTACATAATCCTACCCAGGATCTTTCCTTCTCTAGCATGTCCTTATCATCTCTACCAACCCTTCTGTCAGGCACAGGCTGGTGACACACTCCTTCTACTAACCCCAACAGCCTTCTGCCCTGGTATGGTGGTTTAAAAGAAAATGGCCCCCAAAGGGAGTGGCACTAGTAGGAGGTGTGGTTTAGTTGGAGTAAGTATGGCCTTGTTGGAGGGAGTGTATCACTGTGGAGGTTGCTTTGAGATGTCATATATGTTCAAGCCACTCCCAAAGGTTCAGTCCACTTCCTGTTGCCTTCTGATCAAGATGTAGGTAGCACCATGTTTGCCTGCACACAGACATTCCCACCATGATGATATTGGACTAAACCTCTGAAAATGTAAGCCACTCCAATTAAATGTTTTCCCTTTATAAGAGTTGGCTTGGTCATGGTGTCTCTTCACAGCAATAAAAACCCTATCTAAGACACCTGGTGAAAAGGTGATGGTCCTACAGCCTGGGAGTCCCTGAGATCCTATAGATGACAAGTCAGTGTCTGGGCTGGTACTTGGCACCAAGAAGCCTGCGCTATGTTTCAGTGACCCAATGAGACATGAACCACAAAGACCTGGGCCCAGATTCTGGCTGGGCTCATCCTTCAGAACACTTGCTTTTCATCAGTAAGTGGGGGACATCTGCTGCAGAGTTTGAGACAATCATAAGAGTGAGGGAACAATACAACATGCCTGCCTTGATGCCTTCAACCAGGGAATGGGCATCAGCCTTAACACTCCCATCACAGCCGTTCTGTCACCTGGCACAAAGGAGTGGGACTCAGCTTTTAACACCCCAATCACACACTGACTGGGGCTTAAGGTTTTTTCCCAATCATGGCTATAGGCAAGTTCATGTGCATTCATTGACCACCCCACAGGAAGAATCCTCCTTTTCTGCCTTTCACCTGGGACAAGCCAGCTTCTGCCTAGCTCACAAATACAACCAACTCCCAGAACACAAAATACTTCCTTCCTCCATGCTACCTTCCCACCCACACAGACTTCTCGTGTCCTTCTTACCACTGGACATGGAGTTCTACTCACCCACACTGCAAGGTCCCAGCTGTCCCAGCAATGTCTCCACAGGGGCTAGCACACAGCAGATTGTTGAACACATGCCAGTGGATAAAGGAATGAATGCAAGATACAGCAATCTGCACACAGGGCATGGTTCGCCTGTGGATGTCAATTGTCATCCCCTAGGCACAAGAACCTTCTCCACTGGTTCCTCTTACTACATTCAAAACCATGTAAGCTGGCATGAGCCCTACTTCCCCTGTGGAGGAGCTGGTCATCTCAAACTGCCTCCTCTGTGGCAGTTTAATGTCTTTAGAGCTGGGTGACAAAATTGATGCCTCATCTACCAAAGGCTCTAGTCATTCTGAACCTCTGTATGTCTACATGTTTATATTCACATATTCCAGAGGCCCTGCATCATTCAACCAGCAGAGCCCACCACAGTGCAGCAGCTGTCTGGAGGCTCTGAGCACCCTGGCAGGCCTGATCTGTGTGTGTTGCTGAGGTTCACCTCTTTCCTTAATCAACCTCCCTACTATGGTATCATCCTTTCTGGGACTTCTCTGTGGTACAGATCCCAACTAGATCCTGTGTAAAGCTTTCTGGTAGTACCACACCACCAACTGTACCAGTAAGCCTGGTCTCTACCTACATTACTTAAGGCTTTTAGTGCTGTAGTGGAGGCCCCAGAATATAATCACACCTAGCCATCATGGCCAAAGCTATAGAATTCTTGGCAAGCAGCTTAGATTCTCACAGTTGCTGTCTTTCAGCTGCAAACTAAGAACATTAAATTCACCCCCACAGTGATGCTTGTGCAAGTCAGATGACTTGCATACATAAAGGATACAGTATAGAGCTAGTACAGGCTCTACACAGGTCCAAACTGGGACATACTCTGTGTAATAGCATGCAAGCTCAGAACAGAACCACATATCTAAGCTGTGGTGCCTCTGAAGGAATAAAGCAACCGGTCTAGGAGAGCACAGATAGCAGAGTCACAGAGCCTCCTCTTTCTGTGTGAGGATCAGTGGTTGCATCTCTCAGACCGGCCCTGAGACTCTTGCTGCTTCAGCAGGTAGCAGTCCATGAACTACACACAGGCAGCCAAGTCCCAAGACTCTTCCTCTTGAGCTTTACTTCTTCCAAAGCTGAGCCTGGACCTCATGAGAACCTGCATCTTGACTCAAGTTCCTCTGGCCTTAAAGCCTGAAAGTGCTGCTTCAGAAGAGGCCTTCCCATCCAGCCTGTTTATTCATCCACATTTTACATGCTTCCATGCCTGGGTGCTATGTGCTTCTGACTGTGCTACACCAATGCAGCACAAACACTAGTTGAGGTGCGGACTCTACAGCCCAAGATTTCCTTTCTTTTCTTTAGCAAAATAAAATATAATAAGATAGAATAAAAACCATCACATCGAAGTTGGACAAGTCAAACCAATGAAGAAAAAGAGCCCCAAGAGAAGTGACAAGAATCAGCGACCCACTCGTTCACATACTCAGGAGACCCATAAAAATACTAAACTGAAAGCTATAATATAAATGCAGAGATGTGGTACAGACCCATGTTGGCCCTGTGCTTGCTGCTTCAGTCTGTGAGTTCACATGAGCTGTGCTCACTTGATTACAAGGGCCTTGTCTCTTTGTGTCCTCTTCCCCCCTCTGGCTCTTACACTCTTTCTGCCTCTTCTTCCACTTGGTATAGCCAGCCCAGTTTCAGGAGATAAAACAAGGTCAGCAGTGGGCTCCCCAAAACTAACACTCTCACTCTTTTCAGTGGCTACTCTAGAGATAGTGCTGGAGGAATGATGTGAGGAAGAAACGTCTCTCTGAAGCAATGACACATAAGGACAAAGATCAGTCAGTAGTCTTGACTAGGGTGAAAGCACTGTAGGCAGAAGAAAGGAAAACTCATCAAGAGAGTAAGCATGAGATCACAGGGAACCATAGATGTTGTCAGGCCTTGCAGGCATTGTAATGTAATCTAAGTAGAACTGGAAGTTGCTGAGAGCCAAAGAGATACAGCTTATGTTTCAAAAGACCTGTGTTGGTGTGTGAGAAGAGCTATAGAACACAAGGAGAAAGCAGGTAAACCATGAGATGTTAAAACAGTAAGAGGTAAATGTCAGCGTGGTTCAGACCAGAATTAGCAGCTACATTCGGCACATTTTTAAAAATAGATGACAGCTAAACAACTAGATGTAGATGAAGGTTTTAAGTTGACTCTGTAGCTGAGCACAAAGTGAGGCTGGGTCACCATGGGCAATGATATAGAGAGGAATGGATGTCATCAGGTAGAGACAAGCTAGAGGAACAGAACAAACGAATGCAACATTTTCAGTTCTGAGGCTCTTCTTCAGGGTGTTTCATGCTGCCTGATCTATACAAATCAAATGCTCAATATACACCAACAACACCACTTATAGGCAAAGCAACCAGATGTTTTTGGAGAGCAGGAGTCAAGGTGTTGGCCATCAGGAAAGTATCTGTAAAGTAGAATCTTTCCTAGGTGGGGGAGGTGGGTCCAAAAGGTCACTCACTGCATATGATGACCTGGAATAGTAAGGCAGTATGGCTGGAGTAGGGAAGCTTAGAGAAGCAGTACCCAACCATACCGGGAAAGAGTCTGGACAGAACAGGGTCATACTTAGCTCCCTTTTCTTTGAAAGCCTGAAGATACTATATGTGCCTGGCGGTAATGGTGACAAAGACAGAGTTCTTCCCTAATAAAGGTGAGGAATAGAAGGAAAGCTCCTTAGAGATCCCTAGAGAACAACCAGGAGACCAGCACACTATCTGGCTGGCACACCAAAGCTCCTGCCACCAGCAAGACACATCTACTGAAACCTGACAGCTAGAAAGCAGACTCCTGGTTACATGCCTCCTCACTGAGAGGCCTTTGTTCATTCTTTACTGGCCACCTCTCACACTATGTCCTGGGTGCTGTAGAGAGCAAGAATTAAACAAGGCACTGCTACCCACGGAGAACCCTAGCTCAGGTCACATGCTGACACCCACAGAAAGCACTCGAAGCCCTGAATGCAGACTAAGTGCATGCGGGATGGGCAGCCCAGGCTTCTAGCCTTCCTCATCACTGTGCCCAGGAGAACCCAACCCTACCAGGGAACTCAGAAGGGACAGCAGGGTCTCGATTGCTGCCATCTGGCTCGAGTAGAAGCTTGGCAAGGTACAGGGCCTGCCCTCCGCCTGCGTTCAATGCACACATTCTGAGGACGAGTGTGAAGGGCAGACAGCTCGGTGTAGGGGCCACGGGTCAAGGCTCTGCTCTACCAGCTGTGTAGCCATGGGCG